AATTCATTTGTAATTTGTATCCTGGTTGTCTCATATAGGACTACTCATATATTTTACAAGAAATCGTTAAGCAATATAATTTGTTATAACAATACACACAAAATATTACACATGTGTAAAGAAGGAAAAAATAGGTCTTCTCCCATTTTGACCCCTGTGTTGACATTGAAAAAAGTGTTGATTTGAATGGACGACGTTGAAATCATATTTAATTGTCCGGAACTTCGAATTTTTCTCGAAGGATCCAACATTCTGTATTTCTTCTACATAATCCCTGGATCCAGAGGAGCAGATTCAGGTTTTTGCATTAGGAACGGCGGTTTAGTTTAAAATATATTTTATTCATGATACATAAACTGGATTGAACAGTAGGCATAAATCATTTGGTACATGTATAGAATGAATCGAGAGAGAGAGGGAGGGGGGGGGGGTAAAATGAAATAAAATAAAAGACATATTGAAAAAAAAAATATTATAATGAACATGTTGATTCAGGGTGGGAAAAATTCCCTCTCCAAATAACATGTCTTTGATAAGATATTTTTTCCTAGCATACGAACGGGGATGCAATGACCTGGTAAATGGGAGTCAAGGACGGAGCCCTGGTGGGGGAGGAGGACAAAATTCAAATAGAGCTCCTAAGAATAAGTAACCAAAGAATTTAATGCATTGTATCTTTATAACAATAATGTTTGACAGTGAAAACTCTAAATGCTAAAAGATGTAAATCCAGATTAACATATTGGTCAAAAGCTGTAGCTGCAGAGCTTGTACATTTATTATTTTCACAAATCCAACTTATAAAAAGATTTCTGATCTCATCTGGCTTCCATAGATCTGTATGCACTTTCACTTTATCAAAATTATTAATTTGTTATAACAAATTACCAATTTGTTATAACAAATTAATAATTTGTTATAACAAATTAATAATTTGTTATAACAAATTATTAATTTGTTATAACAAATTATAAATTTGTTATAACAAATTATTAATTTGTTATAACAAATTATTAATTTGTTATATCAAATTGATAATTTGTTATATCAAATTAGTAATCTGTTATAACAAATTAGTAATCTGTTATAACAAATTAGTAATTTGTTTTAACAAATTAGTAATTTGTTTTAACAAATTGATAATTTGTTATAACAAATTAATAATTTGTTATAACAAATTAGTAATCTGTTATAACAAATTAGTAATCTGTTATAACAAATTAGTAATCTGTTTTAACAAATTAGTAATCTGTTATAACAAATTAGTAATTTGTTTTAACAAATTAGTAATTTGTTTTAACAAATTGATAATTTGTTATAACAAATTAGTAATTTGTTATAACAAATTAGTAATCTGTTATAACAAATTAGTAATCTGTTTTAACAAATTAGTAATCTGTTTTAACAAATTAGTAATCTGTTATAACAAATTAGTAATTTGTTTTAACAAATTAGTAATTTGTTTTAACAAATTGATAATTTGTTATAACAAATTAGTAATTTGTTATAACAAATTAGTAATCTGTTATAACAAATTAGTAATCTGTTATAACAAATTATTAATCTGTTATAACAAATTAGTAATTTGTTAAAACAAATTAATAAAAGATACTGCTGCGGCCCTAATACGCTTCCGTAATTTAGGGTATTTGTTGTTTGTTTGTTTTTTTTTTTGGGGGGGGGGGAGCAGTTTTAAATTCTTAAATAAAAGTTTTATTACACCTATTTGTATTGCAAAGGTTCCATAAATAGATTACGACTCAAATATGACGTCAGCGATTTTTACCCACAATTCTCGGATAATAATGACATAGAAACAGGAAGTTCATTTATCAATCAGAAAATAGCTGGGAAACACCGTGTTAGTCAACGCTAAAAACACAAACGTGACGACAGATTTTTATAAAACTGCTAATTTTCGAGAAAGTTCGTTCGATCTTATTTAACTGCTGTTAGTAAAACATTGGACTTCAAGTGACTGTTTTATTTTGGATACAAATTATATAGATCTATGTGTATTGGATTTATCTTTGGTAAGATTGGGCGTTCTGTTTTGTTTTCGATTTCTTAGAAAACACATTTTATCATATGAAAAATTGGTCAATAATGCTTAATTTGGAACTTCAGAAATTAATTGCATGATTCGTTGTAACGGAAATAATTATTTTTGTAAAGAAAAATTAGATATCTTTTGTGTTTGTAATCCACGAATACACTTGTTCATGAGTTATTTTTGGATTCTCCCCCTTTCTCGCACGTGTAGTAGTCGTTCTTTGATTCCGCCATATTTTCACATCTAACGCACGCCTGTGATTTTTACTGGCGGTTTTATAAGTCCTTTCAGGTTGGATTTCAAAATATTTGTAAAAATATTATCAGATTTTTGTTGTTTCATAACGCGGCATTGATTTTTATCTGCAAAGTCGTTTATTTAAATAAGATAAACATTTTCCTTTGTGCTTGTAGATGTCCAATTGCACTGATTCTGAAAGTCCCCCAGCCAAGAAAGCTAGAACAGAAGCAAACGGTACTTCTAATTCCAGAGAGACAGACAGTTTGGTGAGCTATATTAAAATCTACAGATCCATGCATGTTATACAAACATTCTTTATTTTGGTTTCATCACCCTCTGTTTTCACATCGAGGGATTTGGCAAGCTGACAATTGTCCCCAATATTCGTTTTTTATCATGTCATTGAACACGGAGAATATTTTATTATTATTTCCTATTTCCCAATGTTTTTTTTTTACTTGATACCCAGTAGCAATGCTGGATGATGAAGACACTGGCCCATTTTTTTCATGTAACCCTGATAATTCATTGCATATTTCATAGCTATCTGTGGTATTTCAATATATATATATATATATATATATATATATATATATATATATATATATATATATATATATATATATATATTCCAAATGTCCAATAACAAAGGTTTGTATAAATTTTCACATTAAATAAAATGACTAGCTTCCTATTTCTTCTGCCAAATGCACTGCATCTATTTGTGTATCCAGAAAAATGTGCCACATACAGCACTTTACACTGATGAAGCATATCTCATGCATGTGGCATCCCAAGATGCATGATTTATTACTTTCATACCGGACTGGTCAAGGTATGACCTATCATTACTTGGGAATAGATCTACTGGTCCAGAATCTTCGCTGATCAATCATCCTGATGAAAATATATGCAAAATTAGAATCCTAATGTTAAATGTTTTCCATTGTGTTTATGATGGAACTAATCTCTATATTATTGAGGAAATAATGTGTCTGATTTACAGTATACATGTACAAGTGTATAATCATTGATGCAGCTTTGTATCAATGTAGAAATAAGTTTGGAAGAGAAAAAAAAATCTAAATCTGTTCTAGAAATGTAGTTCTTTAGCAGTTAGAGCTACCATTATTGGATTTCATTTTAATACATAGATGCAATTTAATGTTGCTCAAACTCAAAATGTATAACCTTCAGATTGAAACAACTGGGTCATATTTATAGCAGAAGACTCATTAGTAAATAATTAAAATTTACATGCCTTAGAGATCATACAAGCCTGAAAATGGCTACATTTATTTGTTTATTGCAGCTAAAACTGTTAAATAATTTCAAAAGTAGATCACTATACTGGATTGAAAACCAAAACTTTCAGATGGTATATGTTTTATTCAGTAATTGAAATTTTTAACATTTGCATTATATTTGCAGAAAGTGAAACATACTCTTGAACTGTATCAAAGTATTCAATAGCAGAATAAGATTCTAAAAAGAAAATGTAGAAAGACTTTTAATCAGACATGTTACAAGTTTTGATAAGGAACCACATGCTATTTACCCAATAGGCCTTGAGATTGGAGGAAAGATCAAAATTCAGAATATTTATCAACATAATATACCAGTTTATTCTGCTACCACTAAAAATGTAGGAGTCTCAGCAATGAGTTTAATTTTCTTTTAACCATACTATAACTGAGCCTTTAAATTACCTTATTTGCTCGCATGTGTACATGACAGGTCCATGCAATTTTGCAGATTACATAACATATATAAATATATATATTTTTGCCATGTATAAAAATGTGTGACATGCTTATGATAACAAGAAGATAAATGGGATATAAATAACAGAAGAAAAGTTTTAAAATCCCTGTATTCTATTAAAAAAAATTATTGTTTGTGTAGAAGCAAAGTTGATGGGAATAAGTTAGAGCAGGGACATTTTGTATGTTGTTCACAATTGCAGGCCTTTCAAAATCTATCGGTACCCAGTACTTTTACCTGGCTGAAATCATGATTATATATATATATATATATATATATATATATATATATATATATATATATATATATATATATATATATATATATATACCAGCCAAAATATTTGATGGAGAAAAATTCTATAACATTTTTAAAATTAAAATCGCTTCCACAAGGTACTTCGAATCCTATTTTTGTAAAAGTACTGCCCATGCATTTCTAATCTTTTAAAGAGCCCTGCAATGTGCATGATAGGGAGTTTAATATTCCTTGAATCACATTTTCATACTTTAAGATTTTCAAGAAAAAATGTTCAAATGCATGATGGGACAAAATTCAATTTTTTTTTTTTTAGAACTTCATCCTTGAGTAAATTTTCACATCATCATGATCATTAACACCTGACTGAGATTTTTTTAATTTTATCTGTCCCTGAAGTTATTTAGTATTACATATATTAAATTCTAAATATTTTCGCATCTGCTTGTTCAATTAAGCATTGCAGACTATCTAATCTGGTGTGGAAAAAATCTTAAATTATTTTGGTGCAGCTCCTCTATTCAAAATCTATGGATTTGTCAATGATTGTCTGCATGGCTTTTGTTTTGCTATGTGATGTAGATATTGCCACTTTCAGCTAAAGTAATAACTGCACAATTTGCGGATGGTGACAGCCCATTAATAATGTATCATCGTTATATTATAAAGTTTGATAGTGAAAATGGAGATAAATTCTTTAGGCTGTATTTGTTTGTAAGCAGGATTTGATCACACTGTGTGTTTTGAATAGTTCGCATGTGGTCAAGCTAGTCTACCATGTCTACTGACACATTTTCGTGTTTTGATTAAGATGGGAAACAAAGCTGACAAACCATCACAGAAGGTAACAAAAATGCAGTCTGCCCTAAATCTTGAACTTTTATGTAGCTTACAAGTTTAAAAGAAAAGTTTGACTAAATTGTATCTAGCATGATCGTTCTGCGTTATATATACAAAAAAAAAAGCTGGTCCACGCAAATGATTTCTTTTTAGTGCAGACTGTTAATTAAAGCTGCATATTTTCTATAGTTCTGTGAATGTAAGCTAATTTTTCTTTACCTGTACAAGTATTTATTATGTGTAACAAGTTGGTGGTTGTCACATTTTTTTATTATTGATGCATTGTTTTGATATTAAGATTGGTTTATTTAATGTTAAAAAAATAACATGAAATATCTTGCAATTGAAACCAAACCTATAAGAACTACAGTTCTTAAACATGTTAAACAGTATTTGACTCCATACAAAGGCTGGTTTAAAAGCAAGAGATTTTAGGTCACATAAAAAAATAAGCAAAGGTCAAGAGGTCAAGAATGATGTATGTTGTGACTGCATTCTAAGGGTGGTTTTAAAATTAGATATTCTGGGGTTACATTAATTAAAAAAAGAAAAGGTCAAGAGGTCAAGTGTGACTGCAAACAAAGGCTGGTTTAAAAGCTAGAGATTTTGGGGTCACGTAATAAAAATATCCAAAGTCAAGAGGTGAAGAATAATATGTGTTGTGACTGCATACTAAGGGTGGTTTTAAAGTTAAAGATTCTGGGGTCACATAATTAAAACATAATTAAAAAAAAAGTTAAGAGGTCAGTGTGACTGCATACTAAGAGTGCTTTAAAGTTAGAGATTCTGGGGTCACATAATTTAAATATATAAATTAAAAAAAAAAAGTTAAGAGGTCAGTTTGACTGCATACTACAGTCCCTGAAACGTTCTACTTTCCCACTTGAACGGTGAGCGAACGCTGAACGAACGGTGAACGAACGCTGAACGAACGCAGAGCGAACGGTGTGTGAACGATGTGTGAACGCTGAACGCAACTTGGTGAACGATGTGTGAACGCTGAACGGTGAGCGAACGCAGAACGCGAACGGAGCGCAAACGCGAACGCAAAGTGAACGGTGAACGAACGGTGAACGCAAGATGAACGATATATTCGGAATGCCTCTGATCTTTTCCTTGCATTGAAACTATTTTATTGTATTATAATGTCAGGTGCCAAAAAAAAATAAATAAATAATAATAATAAATAATTAAACAAATTAATGAATGAATAAATAAGTCAATAAAATAAATTCTCCAAAATTGTCCTAAGAAAGACGATGCATGCACATTAAGTTTTTAATCACACGATTTTTATCGCATTAAAACATTGCAATTGTTGCCGAACGCTGAAGTATAAAAGATATTGTTTTTAGTCGGAAAATTAAAATGTTTATTCTTATTTGATAACAAATCAGAGAAAACTTATGATTTATAGAATGAATTAAAGCGGTTGTAACTTATATTCATATATATATATATATCGGTGTCAAGGCGATTTCGTGTAAAGTAATGAAAAAAAAAATTAATTACATTTATACGCTCGTATTTTAGATTTGTAATACAATAATATATTATGTGTCATTTCTATTTTTCATTATGATTTATTGAGCAGACGTCTACATGTATCTCTAGATGGCCGTGATTATACATGTACTCGGACAAGATGATACAAAGATACATATTCATATAATTTGTTATAAATTCAATTTTCAGAACATGATATTTAAGTAATATGGTGTTATAGTTTTTATTAAACAGACAAATGAGAGAGAGAGAGAGAGAGAGAGAGAGAGAGTACTATTCAGTTTTAGCCCCCCCCCCCTCCTTTCAGGCTTCACCAAATGTTTGTACCTATATCAAACAAAAACTTTGAATTTTTTTTCTAAATATATCAGACAGTGAAAGTAACTTTTTTTTTTTTATCAACAAATCATATCCATTTGGTTGACAGTCATACTCGTTTTTAGTTCACACGAAGTCCACGTGCTTGTCCTGTCAATCAAAATCATTCGACACTGTGCAGGTGTGAAAGTTTTGTCACATCGAAGACGAAGTGCGAGTATTTCCAACAAGTTATAACATTTATTTTTATCATTTCTAGGTTTGATTCCAACATTTGAATAATAAATTAGTAAAATACATTGGGCATTGACACTTGAATGTGAAACATACTCTCTGCCAATTTCAAATACCACCGCCGACAAGTGTACATTTTGATCTACTATTGTTTTGTGACTCTTTTAGATGCATGTTTGTTTTGAGACTGAAATTTTTGTTCTAAAAAAGACCGTTGCTTTTTCTTTTTAAATGTTAATTAAAATATTCTGGAAATACGGTACTGACTAAGTCACCGATTTAGGGGGAAGGGGGGGGGGGGTATTAATCACATCGAATGGCAAACATATAAAGTTACGGTGAAGAAGGATTTTTTTCTCTAGAACTATAGACTTGACATATTACAGTAGAGACATTCTGCGTGTAGTGCATTACATTTTAAATAAATATTTCCTTTAACCACACTATCATTTTAATTCGTTCTAAAGATAATAAATTAACAGGTTATCCGCAGTACTATGTATAACTCTCAGAACTAGTTCTATTATATTTTCTGTTGTAATTGAAAAAAAACGTAGTAGAAATAAATATTTTCGTAATTTTGCTGCGTAATTATTTAACTTGAATAATTATATCTCCATTAACGATTTGTCGTCTTTAACAAAACAACAAAATGTTGCAGTGCTTGAAGTATTTGCACATTGCCCTTAGTTAAATTTAATATTTCAGCATCGTTCTACATAGGTACAGAATGTGCTTGTAACAACATTTATTTTCCAGAGTAATTTAATAAATAACCTAACAGCTAAGTTAGAATAATAAAAATATATATCGTAGATATTTTTCCTCATGAAATAATGATTCCTCAAACACGATATGTTAGTTAATAAATTAAAAAAAAAACCTGTAACTCCTTAACTACAAAAAGATAAGTCCTTTCACTTCGGAGTTCCGAATGACAATGAAAACTGAACGATAGGTGAACGCTGAACGCAAGGTGAACGCAAAGTAAACGGAACGAAGAGCGAACGCTGAACGCTTTGTGAACGGTGAACGCGAGCGCACGGTGAACGGTGAACGCAAAACTGTGAACGGAGAGCGAACGGTGAACGCACGGTGAACGAACGGTGAACGCACGCTGAACGAACGGTGAACGAACGGTGAGCGAACGGAAAAATGGGAAAGTAGAACGTTTCAGGGACTGTAAGAGTGGCTTTAAAGTTAGAGATTTTGGGGTCACAAAAACAAGGTCAAGGTGTCAGTAATATTGGTTTGATTGTTCATACTAAGGATGGTTTAAAGTTTGAGACTTTGAGGTCACATTAAAAAAAAGTCAAGAAGTCACGAATGATACACCCATACTCATGCAGTTCTTTTCAACCAAATGACTTCATGTTTTTTAACAAATAGATGGTTAGTTAAAAGAACACATCTTCTTATATTTGCCTCACTCAATCAAAGACTTTGATTAGACATAGATTAAATAAATTTGTTTATATGTTAGCAAACTGGTTGGATACAACTAGGATACAACCATACAACTTTGTCAGTTTTGTACTAAATTGTAGTGTGTTGTAAAATTTGACATTCATTATGTGATTCTTACTAAAGCTATCCTTTTACATTGATTATGATTTTTTTTTGCGGGGGGTAAATAAACTATTCATCCCTGATGACTGCTAAGTACTGTATAGTATTTAGTAGCAATACCAATGTGTCGTACATGTACCACTACATAAATGGTGGTCAGTGAGTAACTGACTTATTTTAATAAAGAAAAAATTAATGAAGAAATTTATTTAATGTGTTCTTGAGAAATATACTAACTGTAACCGTGTTTTTCAAATTGTGCAGTGCTTTCCTTTCCTCGTAGTTTCCTATACCCCTTTTGAAAGTCATGCCTTGCCCTTGTACATGTAATTAGATGTACTACATATACAATCATGTATATACATCACAAAGGCCTGAGTCTACAATCACTAAGATGAAAAGAAAATGTTTTTGAAGATTTTAAATTACATGATTATGATTTTATACATAAAATGAGCTTGTCATATGATTTACATTTGATACTATCAAGGCATTAGAGCAATATCTCTATATTGAAGTACTTCTAAATTATGTAAGTTCTAATATGGTATCGATTTATCATGTTTATAAATATACCTTTGGTCTATAACTCTATATGATAAAAAATTGATGCAGTGAATCAATGATTTACTTTCACTTTCCATATTTCTTGGAAAGCTTTCTGTTGTATTTTAGAAAATATTTAGCAGGAATTTTGAAAACAATTTAAATTTAGAACTAGAAATAATAAATTAAAAAAAAAAGATCTTATTGCTTATTTAAATAGCAATCTTCATATAATAACATTAAGTATAGAAAAATTCATGATTTCATAGCTCAGAAAGAAAAATTACACCTACATACCTTGATTTTTTTTCCCTTCACTTTTGCATGCTAGTTGTGTTAGTTTTTACTGCACTTTAAATGTACATGGTGGATTTCATTGGCATTTTCTTGCTTTTTGTACCATGGATACTGGCAAATTTTTTCCAATATTTTCATTTTAGAACAACTGTATGCTTGCAAACTAGTATTAACGTTTCCTGAATTTTTTTAGTACACATACTATTGATTATGATAAATCTTATATCATGTAAAATATGTCCATAATTATCACACAAGTTTCATTAGAGCAGCAAGCTGTCATTTTGATCGCACACACACAAAATGTAATTAATTTATACTGAAAAACCTGGTTGATTTGTGTTAAATATGAATTAAAATGTCCACCTGTAAGCTTAATTTGTATGTTTGTTGTAGAGGGTGATTCTTTGAACTCATTATTAAATTGCCTAATAAATGGACAACAATTAATTCGCTGATTCAGTTTAACAGTTTCACCTCATAAATCAGAAGTGCGATGAAAATCAAACATTATATGTCTTCTACCATACAATCAATAAAGGAATGGTATATTGCAAAGCTCATGCGATTCCATATTCTCCATTACAATTCCCTAGGCTTTCTTTTTCATACAGAACTAAATTAGTATTGTGTGATTTCAAAATGCAATAGAATGTTGCCACATGAAAAAAGGTTAACCCATTATTATGATTATAGAGAATTTAAATGGGGAAAAGCTTATTCATGTTAAGTGACACAGATAATCCTAGGCTTTATGGGAATATAATATTAAATCAAAAATACACACATAGGAAATAAAGACAAGGAAGGAACTTTAACTAAGCTTGAATATTTTTAAGGATAAAAAGTGAAATCTGCTTTGTTCATTAACTTGAAATTTCTGCATAAGTGAAGTTTTTGATTTTACTTGCAGACTGCTATGGCTCAAAATGGGACAGTTGACGGGAAAGGTGAAATTGATGAAAGTCTGTACTCCAGACAATTGTAAGTTTTGGTTGCCATGACATCAGATATAGTGGCTACAAAATTATTGTTGACAAGCTAATTGTGTAGAATCATTTGTGTAAAGTGGATGCATGAATTGTGTATGATTGTGTGTGTAGTTTTAGGAGAACTGTTGTTATAACCTCATATACACATGATGTCTTTATTAAGGGCCTTGAGTTCTTGGTTTGATAATTTGATGGAGGAGGATTTAGACTCCATTGCCTTTTGTAAATCTTTAAAATGAGTTAAATTGCAGATATGTGCTTGGCCACAAGGCCATTCTTGGTTATCTAATTTGGTGGGTGAGAATTTAGACCCCTTTGCTTTTTGCAAATCTTTAAAATGAGTTAAATTCATTGTAGATATGTGCTTGGCCACGAGGCCATGCGACGGATGGCCAACTCCAACGTCCTGATAGCAGGAATGAAGGGTCTAGGAGTGGAGATAGCTAAGAACGTGGTACTGGGAGGGGTTAAATCTGTCACCATACAGGACACAGAGAAGGCGGACTGGAACGACCTCAGCTCACAGGTGACCGTCTAAATATAGCAACAACTACTCATATAACTAGGCTTGATTAAAATGAAAAAATAAATTGAAATAGATGCAATGATCTAATCTTTGAAAGACATTTGTGTATGGTAGTAGTAAACTTAAATGTAGCAGACTTTTTGTTTATCATGTGGTATGAATTTGCTTCTAACAAGTTACTGAATAGTCTCAGACCTGAAGTTCATTTTGTAATAGCAGTTAATTTTTTTCCCATTATTTTACAAAGGAAATGCCATGTTTCTATAGCTGAATTTTAATTTTCCTTACTTCCATGATGCAAGACCTACTGATTTGTAATTGCAGTTTTTTCTGGGTGAAAAAGATATTGGAAAGAACCGAGCTGAGGTGACCTGCCCTGAACTGGCAGAGTTAAACACCTATGTTCCTGTTAATCTGAGCACAGACCCGCTCACTGAGACATTTGTTAAACAGTTTCAGGTAAGTAGATAGTCCAAATATGCCCTCATAAGTGTTTCTCATTATGGTTTATTCATCATTTTGAGTATCTTGAATTTATGTTCAACAGGTATTTTCAATATTTATGAGGGGGCATTTGAAAAGCACTGATAATTGGGTGAAAAAAGTTAACTTTTTAAAGGAAGTCAATATTATTTTTATGTTGTGGATGTGTGGGGGGTTGGAGGGGAGGCCACAAGGGTAAAATCTTGGGTATCTACAACCAAAAACATTAAGACCTTATACACCTTGTTTGTTAAGTACCCAATAGGTAAAATTGGTTTTGAGAAAGCATGTGTATTTACAACTGCTTTATCATGGGGAATAGGGGTAAAGTTTTTGTTTGGTATTAATTCAGATGTACTCATCATGCTCATAATACATTTTAATACTAATTATAGAAATAATTTTTAGGTTGTTGTCCTGACCAACTCAAATCTGGAAGAACAAATCAAAATAGGAGAGATCTGCCATAATAACAACATTAAATTCATAAGTGTCGACACTAAGGGACTGTTTGCGTAAGAAATGATATTATACTGTTTATAGAAGTTATAAATGATTGGTAATGCAGTTGATGAATAACATATTAATTTGGCATACTGATAACTGAAAAAAATTATTCCTTGATTGAATTATGTCAGAATTCATATTATAGGGTTTGTGTTTACCTTAAGGCCCTTTCACAATTGGCGCACGAGCAGAAGGGACAAAATATTCGTGCGACCGAAAAAAATTGATTTGGATCGTAAACTGTTGCCGAAATAATCGCATATGAAAAAGTGTTCGTACGAAATTTGCAAGATCTAAAGCGATCGTTGTGCGATGCAAACACATTAAATCTTACGATATATCTTGCGTCTATATGTGATTGATATACAATGAAAGCAAGTATTGTAAGATAATGCGATAAGATCGCGCAAGTGATCAGGTGATCGGACGATTGAACGTGCGCCAAAGCGATTGGACGTGCAGCGCTCGTGCGATCATGCGTTCCATGGTACGAATGCTCGTTCGAGTGCATTTAGGCAACATCCATCAGCCACGCAATTCTAAATTTAGAGAACCCGACACAGTGCTGTGAATTTTCTTATTTCTCCTAATATTGTTATCTTTTAGAATGCGCGTAATTAATCATTGACTGTATTATAATGACAGGAAAGTGCTTCGGCGGTTTGATATCGTACTGGTGTATAAATGTAATTTATATGGTGTATATATATAATATTTGCATGGCAAATTGAAACTGATAAATCGTGCAATGGTAGTAAAATGTTGCAAGATTACATGAGACACGTTGAGCAACAGTCTCATGGTCGCAAAATACTGCTGCGATTAATCTTATGACCATTAAAAATCGTGCATCACTCCTACGAGTACACAAAACGTAGGACGTTTGTTCTAATGTTCGTGCATTGCAATGCGATAATTTGGATCGCATTTGGTCGCGTCTGAATAGTGTGCATGTCCACTATTTTGAGGAGACTTGATGCGACCACTAAAATGCATGCAACGAATGCGAGACATCGTGCAACGTATGCGAGAGCTCGTGCGAAGCTATAAGATTCCGATCGCAAAGTGTTGTAAAGTGCTCGTTGTGAAATTGTGAAAGGGTCTTTACATTTTGATTTTTAGAGAGCTGTTTTGTGACTTTGGGGAGAATTTTTCTGTTATTGATGTGGATGGGGAGGAACCCATAACAAACATGGTGGCTGCCATTACAAAGGTAAGACTAGCAGGAAATTATCAGGATTAGACAAGTTTATCATATTGCTTGGTGGCAATTTAAAAGGGGTCAGAAATACTTTACCATATCTACATTTATTTATTAAGCTAGTCCACTATAGCATCATACTTAAGTAAGAATTAATTACTAGGTGTACATGTATGTAAACTATGTCATTAAGTTAAAAAAATTATCTGAGTAAAGTAAGAAAATCAGTGTTTTGGACCTACTTTACCCTGTAGTTTAGGGCTGTCATGGTTCCAAAATTTTTTGGGCCGGGTTGGTTCTGTAAATTTTCGGTTCGGTTTCGGGTTTTTCGGGTCAGGTATTTGGATCTATTTTAAACCTTAATTTCATGAATTTAACTTGAAAAATCTTTATTTGTTACATTGAATTTACATTAGAAACAAGTCTTAACCATGCGAACATCTAGACATCGGTGACTTGGCCTACTATTAGCCACAACCTGACCATTCCTGCTAATTTGATAATTATCTAATACTTCCGTGACAAGTGTTTTTTCATGGAATGAAGTAGATTTCAGTTGTGATGTTTATTTATCACAGTTATCGTCATCATTCCTTTGATTTCGATGCCATTTTTTGTATTGAACAGACTCTAATATATAAACCAGACCCGAACCGAAATCCGAGAAACGGAACCTGAACCGAACCGAACAACTTGGACCGCGGTTCTCGGTTATTTCAGGTACTCGTAACAGCCCTACTGTAGTTACTATATTTATAAGTCCCTTACAATTAAAATGGCATGTTCTTTGTGTAGGATAAGGAGGGTGTGGTAACATGCCTGGATGAAGCTCGTCACGGTTATGAAGATGGAGATTATGTCACATTCTCTGAGGTTCAGGGAATGACGGAGTTAAATGGGTGTAAACCAATTAAAATTAAAGTGCTGGGTAATTATAGTTCATATTGATATTATGTATCTTGTTAATAATTTGGTCTGTGTTTACTATAATATACAATAGTTTAAAATGAATATTTAATAAGAAAATTGGTTTGTAATGTTAGATTGAACTTAAATGCTTTATGATACAATTTGTTTGAATGGAATATTTTATGATTGCAGGACCTTACACATTCAGTATTGGAGACACTACAAAGTATTCAAACTATCTAAGAGGGGGAGTAGTAACTCAAGTCAAGATGCACAAAAATATTCAGTTTGTACGTTGTTTTGATTCATGATGAGTTCATGGAATCAGAACCCATCATTAAGTACTTTTAATCAGGAACCATCAATAAGTAATTTAGAAATTCACATTTATGCAAAGACAAAGCAAATTTTTCTTTGGCAGCTTGCATATAAATCCGAGGAATTTCAGTATTTATTTTATTGTCCCTTATATAATTTATGTTAACATGAAACTTATTTTATCATGAACTATTTGATGTTGACAGAAATCAATCAAGGCTGCTTTAGATGATCCAGAATTCCTCATGACAGACTTTGCTAAGTTTGATCGCCCAGGTCAATTACATATTGGATTCCAGGCACTGTATGAATTCCAAAAACAAAAAGGACAGTTGCCTCGGAGTCGATGCAAAGTAAGAAGTGAATATTAATATATTATTGCAAAAAACATGTATACAATTTTGTTGCAACATCTTTTCAATCAAGATTTTGCACAAGCAAGGTTGGACCAAAAATGAAAAGAAAACTTGTAGACATGAATGAACATGCTAGTGCAAAGTTATTTTGTTGTCATGAAAAGCTGAGATTTTACAAGAACATGTGTATTGTTATAATTTGATATATGTAAAATGTTAAATTAGTGTATGCTAATTGATTTTATCATGTAAGTTGATTTATAATGGAATGTCTTCTTTCCCAGGCTGATGCTGATGAATTCCTGGTCATAGCTAAAGCATTGAATGAAAAGTCCAAGGCCAAAGTGGAGGAACTGGATGAGGATGTGATGAGGGAGATGGCCTACACTTGTCGGGGTGACCTCTGTCCACTAGCTGCCATCATGGGGGGAGTGGCAGCCCAGGAGGTCATGAAGGTAAAAGTCACATATGGTCAGAATCTCAGCTGTGATTAATTTGACAGGGATTAACTTGTAAGATGAAAAAGTTATGGGAGAAGCTACAAATTCTTTTGAAGGGGGGGGGGGGGGGTATGTATGTATGTATTTGTAGCACACAGGTCTGCAAGGTGAAGAATAATTCAACTGTATCTCACTTATTTTGATATGTTTCCATGTTACTGACTGATTTGTGTTATAGGACTTGTTCATAGAAAACTTTTGTTCAATGAAATGTATTTATATTTCTTCTTTAAAAAAAGAAGAATGTGACATTTAACCTGTATACAGTTTATATAAGTGTAGTCTTGAGAATTTCATTTAAGACTTGACATAACAAGCAGTAAGATTTTCTTCTTTGTAGGCTTGTTCAGGAAAGTTTAACCCTGTGTACCAGTTTATGTATTTTGATGCCTTGGAATGCTTACCAGCAGACAAAGACAAAGTGCTTACAGAGGCAAACTGTAAACCAGTGAGTAAACAATATAACAAATACGATGCACTGTCAATTATGCTTTAGAAACACCAATCACATCACCATATACGAAATACTGCTGTAGCAAATTTTTCTGTGGAGACCTTGTTGCTCAAAGATCTTGTTGATTGTGAACTGCGATTCAGTTGAACTGTAAAACATTTGTTCATGGTAATGAATTATTGTTCTCAGTATTATTAATTTTTTGCTATCTAAATTACGTGTATAGTAAGTGTTAAACATTCAAGAGATCTACATGTATGTTTGTTTACAGCTGTTACAGTATACAATTTATAAAACTTAACTGGATTGAATGTTTAATGTTTCACTTCTTGATTTGCAGACAAACAGTAGAACAGATGGACAGGTAGCTGTGTTTGGCTCAGAATTCCAGGAAAAGATCGGAAACTTGAGATACTTCTTGGTATGCTGTGTAATTCTCATACATTGGTATTCTGGAGACTAATTTTTAAACTGATCAGGAAAAAAATATGATGGTCCAGTAAAACATTTCATCAGTCAATCAAAATAATTCTAGAAGAGTTTTCATAAAAATATTGTACAGTATCGTCCCAGCTACAGCCCTGATTATGATGCCTGCTTCAGAGGTTTGGATGGCAGGTATTTGTATAGTATTAAAACATTTATAGATATAGAAACATTTTAGCCCATGTGTTTCTAGGTAGGAGCTGGGGCCATTGGCTGTGAGATGTTGAAGAACTGGGCCATGATGGGGTTGGCTTGTGGAGAGAATGGACTTGTGTATGTGACAGACATGGACACTATAGAGAAATCTAACCTTAACAGACAGTTCCTCTTCAGACCTTGGGATGTACAGGTCTGCTTATAAAAGATTACTATCCTAATTTCAATTCTTAAAAAGAGATGAACATGTTTGGATACTATCAGTGAAACACTACAAGTCCCAGAATAAACTGTTCCTTTAGTAATTGTTTGATGATTTTTTTTTTTTTAAGAAACCCAAATCTTCAACGGCAGCTAAAGCCGCCAAAGCCATGAACCCCTATCTGAACATCACCCCCCAGGAAAACAGAGTTGGTCCTGACACAGAGAACATCTACACAGATGATTTCTTTGAGAAGTTGGATGGTGTTGCCAATGCCCTGGATAATATTGATGCCAGTAAGTGAGAACACTATGGAAAATATTTTTTCTTCTGTAGATTTATAAGTTTATCAGATTAAAGTACAACTCTGTTTTTATGCGCCCGGATCGATAGATCGGGGCGCATATTGTTTTTGTTCTGTCTGTCTGTTTGTTTGTCTGTCTGTTGTCAACTTTAACCTTCGCCATAACTTTTGAACCATAGGAGATAGAGACTTCATATTTGGTATGCGTACTCCACTAATTAAGTTCTTTCAAATGACACCAAGGTCAATGACCTTGTGACCTTGACTGTGACCTATACGCTAAAAATAGCTTTTTTGAACTTTGTTGCCGCCGGGTGCATAGTGTTTCACAAACACATCTTGTTTTTTTTTATATTAGGGATGTACATGGACAGGAGGTGTGTGTACTACAATAAACCCCTGTTGGAGTCAGGAACTCTGGGGACCAAGGGAAACGTTCAGGTCGTCATTCCAAAGCTGACTGAATCCTACTCATCCTCGCAAGATCCGCCTGAGAAATCCATCCCTATCTGTACTCTTAAGAACTTTCCTAATGCCATAGAGCATACACTTCAGGTGAGAATATGTTATTAAAGAATAATAATAAATCACTACAAAATTCCCTTAAAGCCACAAAAAAAACTGTTCAAGTGAGTACATTCATCTGTAAACATCTTGGGCTCTACACTGAGGAATTTTTCCTACCCAAATGAACAGACACTATTGATGTAAAAGTCCCAGTTTATTTTTGCAATAAAAATAATACCAGGCTCTTTGGATGGTTAACTCTGTAGACATCCACTTTTCTGTTTGTTCTGTGAGATGAATCCTATTGACAATTAATATACAGTCAAACCTCGTTATCTCGAACCCAATGGGACCGAGAAAATACTTTGAGATATCCGAGGGTTGGAGATGTCCAGGGTAAAATACTTAAGGAATAAGCAATTGGGACTTCAAAATCACTTTGAGATATCCATGGTATTTGAGATATCCATGTTCGAGATTCGGAAGTTCAACTGTATATGGACAATAGTTTCCTTAGGACTGAAATGTCATTCTTTCTGAATGTGATGTGTGATTCTGGGTTATATTTCTAATTTTGGCAGTTGAGAATTTTTATCAGGCAGTATTGACAACCCTAACAATCGCAATATTTTAATCTTCATTTTCTGTGTGTATGTCTTTCACATTATGGTCTTCGCGAAAATTTATCACTTGTAAGGTTTATGATTGACTGACTAAGGGAATGTATTGGGTTGCTTTGCAGTTGCTGTCTTTGAGATTGAGCAACCCAATATATTTCCATAAATAGTAACAAATCAGATAAGAAATATAGACTTTATTGTGTGTGTGTGTATGTAAAGTCTGATTGATGTACGTTGAAAAGAGAAGCTTATAGATAATGAAATTAACCACAACGTTAATCATTTTTGTTGTGAATGTTGTTATAGTCAGCCAAAAAAATCAACTATATGTCCACATAGGTATATTTATCTATGTTAACACTGAATTGTGGTCTTCTGTTTTCAGTGGGCCAGAGATCAGTTTGAAGGATTGTTTGTACAGCCTATTGAAGGTGCACTTCAGTACGCCACAGACCCTAAGTTCATGGAACGGACTGCCAAACTTCCAGGAACACAACCTGTAAGTCACTGTATAAAAAGTACTAATGCTTCACAGAATCTTCCTAGGTCAAAAATTCTGAAATGAAAAATATAATTAACATATCTTTTGATAAATATATTTCTCACAAAAAGAAGAAGAAATATAAGATGTAGTGCATGTATGAAGATAACAATGTGGTATACATGTACTTTGATTTTGTGTCTCTTGTAGTTGGAGACTTTGGACAGTATAAAGAAGGCCTTAGTAACAGAACGTCCCTCCAATTTCCAGGACTGTGTGGCATTCGCCAGGAATTTGTTTCAGGAGAACTACAATAACAACATTCGTCAGCTTCTGTTTAATTTCCCACCAGACCAGGTCTGCAGGATTTTCTTTTATTTTAAATGTTTAACTTCAAGTTGTCTGATCCATCAAGATGCAGGTGCTTCATGATAATTGAAAGGTCTCCCTGTCTGTCGGTCAACACTTTTATGTGTTGTGTTAATTAAAGTACCTTTCACCTTACACATGTACAGACTTCATGATGTTTAGAGAGACACCTACAATATTTAGGGTCAAGAGTCAAGGTCAAAGCTCAGGATTATTGATATGACATGCAGTACCCTAATATTTTGTAACCAGTAGATTTTATATTTTCTACATACATGTTGGTATTTTCCATAAATTTTGTTGTTCAAGTTAACATAATTTTACATGTGTTCATTGCATTGTGATCTTTGATTTACATGAAGCTATGTTTTGCAAAATGATGCTCCCACTACATGCAGAGAAACTAGTATGTCAAAATAATGGAACATGATTATTTTCAGGTGACTAGCTCTGGAGCCCCATTTTGGTCTGGTCCAAAACGATGTCCTCATCCCCTAGAATTTGATGTAAAAAATGTAAGTTATTCAAGAATGGTACAAGTAGCATGTGTTTTTTTTCACAATGAATATAGAAAAAAAATGGTAGTCTTGCAAAGACTTAAAAAACTTTTTTTAAAAAAAAATGCACTATTTTTCAGGAAACCCATGTGGAATTTATAACCTCTGTTGCTAATCTTCGGGCAGAGATGTATGGTATTAAACAGAATAAAGATCGGAAGGCTATCTGTGATATGGTATCTAAGGTCAAAGTTCCTGAGTTTAAGCCCAGGTCTGGAATTAAGATCGAGGTGACAGATGCTGAACTAGAGGGCAGACATTCAGGAAGTGTAGGTTAGTGAACAAGAGATCATCAAATATGTTTTTTTTATACCATGTTATCAAGTTCAAAGATGTAAGGTTATATACAATGTAGAAACATGTACATATGTACAGTGAAACCTGTCTAATCTGACAAAAACTGGGACACAAATTAAAGAGGGTGTCAGATTACACAGTGTAAAGAATATGGAAATTGGTAAAATGGAAATAAAGGTCGGTTTTCATTGTATATTATTTAACTCTTTCATTCTTTTGTTAAGACTTTTTACTGGCTCATTCTTTTGTTAAGACTTTTTACTGGCTGAAGTATGAAATGGTATCAATACAAAGTACTAGATAAGAATGCATGTAAGATTATCTTTGCAATATATGAATGGTAATCCATAAGTGTAGATTATTTAAGTGGTATCCAAGGACAAAACATGGCATAAAATTATAAATGAAGTGATATCATTAATAGTATATGATTTATATAGGATTATGTATTAAGTGTGTTCCAATAGAGATAAAGTGTTAGCACTAGAAGATAATATTTTATATGTAATTAATTATGAAATTACAAATAACTTGCTATTTTTAGATATGTAGGAAGTGCACTTGGAACTGTTCCAAAAGTTCTGTAATTCTTCCTTTAAAGTAGAAATGTACTTGCATGTATTTTAGGGGAAATTGAAAAAAATAAGATATGTAAAACTGTCAAGCTATAAACAGGCAAAGTGTTTTAAGATGATTTACATTACAGTACACTTTAATTACTATAGTGGATAAATGATATTTTTAAGGAAAACCATTATTATTTTTATTTGAGCTTTGAAAATCTGCAGGGTAAGAAGGTAAAGTGTTCCAAGTTAGTGATATCAATGTTGGAAGTTTTGTTCATTTAGTTTAGTCCTGCAGTATTTAGGTTATACTGTGATGGCACTGTGATTCTTAATAACATTTTCTTGTATAGTCTGAGCTGTTTTATAAAACTCTATCTTATATTGTACAGATGCTGATGCCTTTGAAAAACTCCAGAAGGAACTGCCCCCTGTGGAAGAAGTAAAATCTATGAAGTTAGTTCCCATTGAGTTTGAGAAAGATGACGATACTAATTTCCATATGGATTTTATCGTAGCTACATCAAACCTACGAGCTGAGAACTATGACATTCCACCAGCTGATAGACATAAGGTATAAACAACGGGGAAGAAAAATTCATTTTAGTTCTTTCCCTTTTCAGTTTTATAACACGAAATCCCAAGCTTGATAAGTACATAACTATAATTGTATGTATGAGTTATTGTCTCAATTTTGAGTTCTTTCATGTTTTAATTTATCTATGTAATATAAACTTGCTTGCAATTGATATAGTAATATTAGTATATTATGATAGGATATATTTTAAGGATCACATGGTTTATTTAATAAAATGTAGGTTCTCTTTAAACAAAAGTAGGAACATTTCTTCATGTACACTGTACAATACTTACTTGCATAGAAGGTCAATAATTGTTTAGCCATTTCTGTTTGCAGAGCAAGTTGATTGCTGGAAAAATTATTCCTGCCATTGCAACAACTACAGCTCTTATAACAGGCCTAGTAGCTATTGAACTGATCAAGGTATGCCGGACTTATAAATGTCAAACATGTAATAAAACTCTTCTTAATTACATCCCCTGAAACAAAAGAACAGCTCTCATGTATTTATTCTTATCTATTTATTTATTTAATTTTTTTTTTGATTTCAAAGCTATCAAGAAGATTATTTATTCAAGACAAAGTATGTGTATGTTTTTATGTACATGTATGTATTGATCTACAGTATATAAATGGTGATGAATTTTCCTTTTAAATTTTCAGCTCATCCAAGGTCATAATAAACTTGAGTATTACAAGAACGGATTTGTTAACCTGGCCCTTCCATTCTTTGCATTCTCAGAGCCTATTGCTGCACCAAAAAGCAAGGTATTAAATTTATATGTACCCCCTTTCTATCATGCCTATAATTACAAAAGGCAACTTGAGACTAGTTTTGAAGAGCCAGTATTAATTAAATATATATTCACAAACTTCTCTATTAGAAAAATAATGAAGTTTGCTTTAATATCAAAAAATGTCTTTTTGCTTTGTTTAGTACTATGACACAGAGTTTACCTTGTGGGACAGGTTTGAAGTTCAAGGAGACATGACTCTACAAGAATTCCTAGATTATTTCCAGGTAATTTAATAATTCCGTTACTTTTGCATGTACAACAGGACTGTGCATCATCTCTATAAAACGGAATTGGTCCGAGTAATAAGGGCTTAGCAAAGATTCACATGTGCCAATTACTTTATCTGTCCACAAATTCACATGTGCCAATTACTTTATCTGCCCACAAATGTTCTAGTATTTTATCTCTGTAGGAAAAACAAATTTGTAGAATATCTGGTTTTTGCTCATGCATTTTCCAGCTTCACTTTACTCTTAGTAAATTACCTTGACATGAATAGCTTCTGCTCCACATGTAAATTTTTTACATAGAGACAGTGGTGTTCAGAGTACAATTTCTCAGTTATCAGAGTAATGAATCGCTATTTTAAAAATTGCAGAAAGAATACAATCTGGAGATCACAATGTTGTCTCAGGGTGTGTCCATGTTATATTCATTCTTCATGCCCCCAGCCAAAAGACAGGAGCGCCTTGGACTACCGTAAGTTATTTATTTGAAAAAGAAGGATTTTTATACCCCCCGCAAACGAAGTTTAGGGGGGGTATATTGGAATCACCATGTCCGTCTGTCTGTCCGTCTGTCTGTAGACAAGATTTTGTCCTGAGCGTTTCTTGGATACTATTGCATAGATTTGTCTGAAAATTTGTACACTTATTATTCACCATATGAAGGTGTGCACCTGGTATTTTCATCATGATTGAATAATTTTTCTGCATTTTACAGGTGTTTTTTTTCATTTTTATTATGTGGTTTTGTCCTGATCTTTACTCAAAGACTATTTCATAGAATTGTATGAAAATTTGTACACTCATTATTTACCATATGAAGATGTGCACCTGGTATTTTCAACATTATTTGATCATTTTTCTGCATTTTACAGGGTTTTTTTTTCATTTTTATTGACTTAGTCATTTTGGGTTTATTTCTAAGGTTTGAGACACAGAATCTAGAACATCTGTACAAAAATGTGAACTACAGCTTAAAACTATTCATTAAAACAAAAAAAAAAAAAATCACCAAGTATTAAAAACAATTCTTACATTACACAGCAGATAGTGTAAATCCATTTGTCCCTTGGGACTAATGAGTGGACATCATCCAGTTAGAGATAAATTAATGAGTTCAGTGTGGGAAGTTGTTAGGGCATCTCTGATCAAGCGTGTGTTATCTATATCTCCTGGGAATTTAAAGATCTCTGTTCTTTAATTCTCTTAATTGTAATTTATTGTCTGTCATAGTAAATAGTTACTGGATGACCAGCCTTTCATTTTTAAAATGAATTTGATATAAAGTTATCAAGATTAATTTGATTTTGTAATTAATTGATTTTTTTTCTTCAACAATCAATGCAGAATGTCATGTCTCAAAAAGATGACAGATAGTTGCAATTTATTTTTTCTATGTATTCAAAAACAATGTAACTACAATGTATTGGTATTGATGTTTTATTAGGTTGTTCCTTGGTTTCATTCATTAAAAAAAAATATAATGAGCAATTATTTTTTCACTCTAAATGTTAATAAGAAAACACCTCTTAGATCCATAAAATATTAGTGATTTGGCACCTCTGAAAAACCCAGCGGGGGGTCTGTTTTGGACAGTTCTAGTTTAATTAGGAATTGCTCTGAAAACATTTAATAAAAAATTCTTCCACAATCTTTAAAAAAAGGTTGTAGCTTAAGTATGTCAACTTTGATATTGATGATCCTTTGGTGAATCCGAGTTTAATTTTTTATTTGAAATTGCAGGTTATCAGAGGTGGTGAAAAGAGTCTCGAAGAAAAAGATTCCTAGTCATGTGAAGGCTTTAGTGTTAGAGCTGTGTTGTAATGACAAAGATGGAGAGGATGTGGAGGTCCCTTATGTCAAATACAACCTACCACAATCTTAACATAGACACCCCAATAGTGACTCCACTGTGGTGGCAGAAGGTGGCTTCTTCTCATATTGAGAGAAAACAGACAGGAAGTGGTGCACAGCCATTGAAGTGCAATGATTATTTGAATACTATAGAATTGTTGTACATGTATTTCTTTATGCTTTATGATTCTGTTTTAAAACAACTAGAAAATTTGAAAGGGAAATTAAAATCTGACTTTTATATACAATGTACATGTATTCATAGCACAAAAACATTTAAGTAATGTGCATAATAATTTATTGTGAATAAGTGAATAGAAACTTTGTACATGGAGTATTAAAGTCATTTTGTCTGATTTCTTGGCTTTGTAGATTTGTTTGTAGTTAAAAAGTTATTAAAGAGTAATACACATGTAGATATATGATGCATTTAAGATGGATTTCATATCATTTCTGTATATATCAATGAATTTTTCTAAAGGAGAATATCTCATAAATGTATGTCCAAATATTTTATTTTCCAACTTTTTTGCTTACCAAGCTATGAAAAGGCCACAGTTCATTTGATGAGAACTACATGTATTTATGTATCTGCAGATGTCGCTAGTTCAGGTGTCAGAGACTTTTTTTGCATGATTAGCTGCATAACGTGGGAAAGTTTAGCAATATTTTTAGCTCACCTGAGCTGAAACTCAAGTGAGCTTTTCTGATCACCAGTTGTCTGAAGTCTCTCTTTCTGATTATCTGTGAAACTGTAAACTTTTCACATTTTCGATTTCTTCATGAGAACCACTAGGCTAATTTTAATCACTGTTGCAGGGCTGCCAGCCCTTAACGATTTTGGCGTAAGGCTTATGATTTGAGCATCTTAAATACGCTTTAAATGTATGTTATCCTTACAATATCTATTTCTCTCTGTCAAAAGTTTGAAATGGTGGTATTTTCATTCTGTCCACCTTCAGTTTTCACTATGAAATAAGAGAAATCATAGTCCTTACAGCGTGAGATTGTAACCTCATGCTAACTTGCAGTCTCAATCATTTTATTATGAATAAATGGAAAAATGCTGTGAAATCACTAATTTTCCTGGGGGTTTAATTTTCGAGGTGTGAAGAGACCCATGAATTCATGTTCATCACAAAATGTAAAATTTCCTTTCCATAACTGCTCAACACATCTGAAACCACGAAATCAAGTACCCCTAAACCAATATTTTTTTTCAAACCTTGAACACTTGACCCCACGAAAATATGTGATTTCACAGTATCCAGTCGCCGGGCATCTAAGTGGCCCCTAGACCTTTTCTTTGGATTCTTCATCTTTGTGTAAAGAGAGGAAACTCTGAGAAACTTTTATAAAATCGTTGAGATAAAAGAAATTTTTCTGACAAATTTTGCCACAAAGAAGTGCTAAAATATGCATTTTAATAATAAATAGGTTTCTTTCTTTTTAAAAATCCACAGCGTTATAGCATAAGAATTAATTTAACAGCTGCCCAATGGAGGTCATACGCAACGTACATGTACGTATCTTGAAACGGACATGCATATGTATCTTTAAACGCATATAACTTGCTGATAATTTTTTCAAGATATTCTTAATTTAAAATCATAGTGTCATCAAACATTTGTAAACAAAATATGAGCATACCTTACTAGTGGTTTTGAAGAGATCACAAATGTTAAAAATCCATGTGTTTTCAAAAAAAAAAAAAAAAAAAAAAAAAAAAATTTCAAGATTAGTAGTTTTAGGTGGTATTTCCTCACAATTTGATTTAGAAGAGGTGTACAGCATCATTAAGTATTATAAAAGTCGCACCAAGGTTGTTCATTTATTGGAACTTTAAAATTGTAAATTTAAAGAATGAGTGAATTTAGTTTAAAACTACGTTGCGTACATGTATGTCCTTAATACGTCTTTAATACAGTATAACCTCGATTGGGGCAGTTTATGCTTTATAAATCGCGAAGCTTTATAAATGCATTAATTGGGTACAACTAAATACTGATAGCCGAGTAAAGGTCTAAATTTGAAGCCCCTCAGGGGCATACGGTGGCGTCTCTATATGAGTGAAAAATTCTCGAATAGGACGGTAACAACATACAATCAACCAATGTAGGTGCAGTTAAGGTCTGACGACAGGTTCCTCAAATATCTGATTTGTTTCTCTTCGTTTAATATATTAAAATATTCATAGTATTAACATTATCGTGTGATTTCTAAACTGTTTTCAAAATGTCTTGGAAAATAAATACAACAAAAATAGTGATATTGACAATTCAAGAGATTTCAAATAGGACTCTATAGGAAACACTGCCCTCTGGTGTCTTGCACAAATGCCTGGTAAGGTACCTCAATTTTTTGTGAGGAAACTTGTAAAAGAAGCAATATTTCAATGACAAATTCTTGGGAAAAATTATATATTATTGAGGAATTTAATTTACGCTTTAAGTACAAACCAGAAATGATATATTAGTTGGATACTTCTGGTCATTTGATTATGATTAAAAATTGGGAAAACATTAAATGTACAAGGATATCAACTATCTCGTTAAAAGTCGATATTCACAAATTCTATGGTCGACACAATGAATTGTCAGCAAATACAATCTGTCGTTAAATCGAATGCTGACTGATGTTTCTCATACAAATTGTTAGGCCATTATTTTCACACTGAATTGTCTACAGATTTTTCCGTTTGCCCGATCACGACAAGGAACACACAGCGGGTGTGACTGGTCGACAGGGGATGCTTACTCCTCCATGGCACCCGATCCCACATGATGTTTTTAGAGGTCCATGTTTGCTCTGCTCCCACTTTGTATTGTTTCACTGGACTTTTAATTTTGATTTCTGTTCGTTATCTTCATATTTCATGCAGGAATATTAGAATTTTTAAGAATTGTTCTGTTTTTAAATGAAGATTTGGCACACATACACGTAACACCAAACTGCCATATTATTCAAATAATATTATATGATTAATTTCCATAAAAATATCACTCAAACTCATATGCCTTTAGAAAATCTCCAAGTTTTGAACGAAAAGCAATAACTTCTTCCTCGCCGTGTGGATACTCTAGGAATGATTGACTCTCAATAAGGTCCATCAGATGAAGCGGTAACTTCTGCATTGAGCTCTTTTCCAAAGCTACCAAAATCAAGATATTCTTACCGTTACGAGAATATATCGCTTCCATTTGCGCCATTTTTAATTCAAACATGCACCAGTATGAATTTAGAAAGTGTGACGTCATTATGCAAACTGTTCGTCTGCTGGAGTGAATAGCATTTGTGATGTAATCGGCTATATCTGTTCCAGGAATGAAATCTCGGTGATGAATGCACAGATTTAGATCAAAATCTTCTTCAAGGATTTTAACAAGGTTTATAACCTCGGTTCTATTGTTTTCTGCATACGAGATGAAAGCATCAAATCGGTACACACTCTGTTTATTTTTAGCACCATTTCTTTCTCTAGCATGGCCCCGATAATTCTCTTTTGCGACATAGTACATGTATCGAAGCTTCCATCTGTACCTATACACAATGCGACTCACGGTTAACATCATTGCAACAATGATCATGGACATCATTATAACAATGATAAGTGTGTAAGAAGAACATTTCTTCTCTAAACTGGTCAGAATATTATCGAGAGCCGCTAATGGAAAAGTTGTGGAATTACCAAATGTACAGGTGTAGTTCTCAAAATCCACAAACTTTAAGTTTGTTGATTTCTGAATCCAGTTGAGAAATTCAAGATTTTCACAAGAACACTTCAACTGGTTGCCTATTAGATTGACCTGAATTTCTTTGGATATTGATAGCAAATTTAAGGCTTTTCTTGTCGATGCTTCAAGAATTGACAATTGGTTGTAGGATAAGTCTAGAAGAGACAATTGTCTCATGTGTTCAATTCGTACAGTAAAACTACTCAATGAGTTATAGCTTATGTTTAAATATACAATTTTGTGGTTATTTTGGAATACCTTTCTGGGAAGACGAACAATTCTATTAAAAGATAAATCTAGAGACAATAACTCATGCTGGTGAGAAAGAATCTCGCCAATTCTATCATTTTCAAACGAATGTCCCAATGCATTGTTTGAAAGATTCAAATACTTTAATCCAGTAAAATATTTTAAAAACTCTTTTGAAATATATCCGCAGAAATTACCAGAAAGGTCAAAGTATTGAACATGCATCATTCCTGTTACTGGTCCGATTAGTTTATAGATGATGTTTCTTTGCATCAATATCTTTGACACTTTGTTTTTTGCATCAACCGGTAGCTTTGGAATATACATTTTGTACAAATTGTCATGCTAAAATAAACTGTGCAGGTTTTGAGTAATGTACTGAGTGTAAAATTGTCGAATATTCCATGAGATCCCTTGAAATTGGTATGAAATATGTCAGATGCTGTTGTCAGATCATTTGAGTATGACGTGTCTTTGTACAACTGATGATAATTGCCGACTGCATTTTGGCTGACTTCAAACAACCGAGGAGGATTTCGAGTGTCATTACAGTTTTCGAAAAAGTTCACGCTCATTCCAACTTGATGGAAGAAATCTTGAAAACTGATATTTAGCACCTCCAAATTGCGCAAAACCGCAAACTCCATGAGGTAGAACCCAAAACTTAACTGATTATCCGCCAAATTTAGAACACGGAGTGATTTTGGTAAAGAAGATAGAACTCCCGTTTCCAAATTATGAATTCTATTCGAAGCTAAATTGAGTTCCACTAGCGATGTCTGTTTTAGATTCACAACATGATAAACTTTTATGACATGACTTACCCCAGACGTGCAATGCAGTTTTTCAGCATTTATATTCCTTATGTTTGAATTTTGCAGATCCCTTGTAAGATTATGGATGACTTCAACAGTAAGTATTATATTATTGGAGATATCAAGATATTCAAGATTTAAGTTTTCCTGAAAAGTTCCAATTTGAACTTCTATGAGATTGTTGTATGAAATACTAAAATTCCTTAGAGATTTGTATCTTCTTAAGGAAGTCATGTCAAGCTTGTTCAAATTATTGTGGGATAAATCCAAATATAAAAGAGTTCTTGGCAGATTTTGAGGAACTTCTATGAATCTATTTTTTGCCAAATTTATTCCAATAATTTCAATATTGAAAGTTGGAGCTTTAGATAAACCGAAATCTTCACATTTAGCATACCACTTTCCTTCGTATGCTATGCAAGTGCATTTCTTGATCGATGAGCAATTTTGTCCAATCGACGCTGAAGGAAAAATCAACAACGGGATCGTGATCCAAATAATATCCATAGCTAGAAATGAATAAAAATGTGATAAAGAATTTTAGTGTATGAAGTTTATTGCCCTTCTGCACTGTATATGGAATATAATATGTTGACGGTGCGACCGTTGGGGCGAGCGCAGTGTTCACTTCATTATTATGATCCGCCTCTTCAAACCGCACGAGACATTTGGAACGTCTAGACTGTGACGTCACATGACGTCCTATGTTAGCTGCATTTCCATAAACAAAGTTTAAAAAGTGCAAATATTTTAACAAAGAACGTTTAATCTACTATCCGCATGCAATATCCATTAACTTAAGGTGAGTTTATTTTGTGTGAATTTTTAGTTGTTGTCACCGCGTGAACGAAGTTAGCAGCGAGAACAAGAAGCGATGCATTGTGGGTCAGAATTACTGCGGAAAAAAATTCTATTGAATGAATGTGCAGTAGTCCGAATTTTCTCTTCGCCCAGGCGTTGTCGTAAGAGCTCGCAGTGACGAGCGGCGCTTCGCGCCGCTCGCTGCGCTCGCTATTAAATACATAAGTGTATCATGGCTTCTCTGATAGCATTGTTAATCTATTTTTACGCCATTCCTTTGTTCATATACTCTGAATTTTACCGGTCAAAATCCAATGTTAACCTATAAAGTCACATTATATAAAAATCTTATTTATATAAAAATACATCTTAATTTATATAAAAGTACATCTAAAGCCAGAGAGACAAGAATTAGTCAACTAACAATATTTAGCTAAAGGGCTTCTTTGATACTGAAGTCACTGAGGCAAATTAAAATGACGAGTTTGAAAACATCCTTCTTAAGTTCAATATGGACATAATAAATGTTAAAATCAAATTGCTCAAAACAACTTAAATATATACATCTTTCTCAATTGTTGATCATGGTACTGGGGGAAAAAAAATTAAACGATCTATATTTTTTTCTTTGCTCTTCTTCCCCGGTTTCGTCTGGTAATTTTATACATGATTTTTTATCTGCATCATACATTGATATACCACATTTGATAACTATCGCACTTATTGTTCACTATTGCCATGTGTATGTCATTTTGAAATGCAGGAAGTACTAGGAAGTTATAAAATAATTGTATCAGATTTTTTTTCTTTGCCTATTTGCTAGTCTTATTGCAGTTTGGCATTTGAGAATTTCATATGAAGACCTTTTGCATGTGATTTAAGTTTTGGAGGAAATTTGTCTTCGTTTTTATTCTAAATCAGGACTTACTGGGTTGGGTTTATGCGTATATATCTTACCTAGCTGTGGTTTACATTTATCATTTCGTAAAAGTGAGTTGGGCAGTAAACTGATAAAAGTTACGATTTGAAAGAAAATATATGAAATTGAATATGGAAGTTTGAAGAATTGAGAAAGAGCACTATTGTCTTATAAAGAAGCTTCCCCCCCCCCCCTCCTAGTTAGCTAGATATTTACTTGAATACAGGGATAAAACACATTTTTGCCGTCTTGTCAGTAAGTTAATTGCCATAACTTTGCTAAAAGAAGAGAAATTTCAAGGGTTAATTTATACATTCAATTAGAAATACACTTATCTAAACACATATTAAAATACACAAATTGTTTACTAAAAAGCTGAAAAAATAAATGACTTACTCCAGTAGTGTGTTTTCATCGTATCCAAATTTAGTGTTTGGTGGTAAGAGTTATAATGTATAGCGTGGCAATAAGACATGCACAGATATATACACAGGTTTGCAAAAATTGGTCAACTATGATCGTGACTTATTAACAATTTTACAGTTCACTATTAATTCGGCATATTTGTACTTAACTTTTTGTATAAGACATACCGGATCTTAGATATATGTTTACAAGGATGTTATACTTTCCAGGACGACATACTTAGCTTTTAATTTTTAGAGTGGGTTTTCCTCATTTGAGACTGTTTAGTCGTATCTAAGGATGTTACCCATAAACTTTATAAAATTTAAGAAAATAATCTTTTATTTCAAAACATCACCTGAGACCCATTCTAGCAAAGTGCCAAAAATTAAAGCTTTTGTTGTGTTTTAAAGTACTCCATGAACCGAATTCTATTTCCCATTTAAAATCTTAAACTAGTGCTAATCTTGCAACACTTCTGTCTTAAAATCTTCGGATGATAATTAAATCTAGTTTTTTTTTTATTCAACTGATTCTCTTGCTATGGTGCTTTACGTATTTATTTGTTCAGGCGCAGATCCAGGATTTTTTACTTTCAATAAATTCTCAGATGTGAAATCTTAGAAAACTAACTCTATGCATCAGATTAAACTGATAGTTTTATGCATAATACATTTATTAAAAGTGAGGAACGGGTATATAATCCCAGACAGTCTTATGAAAAAATTATTTAAATGGTTCCGAGGAAAAAAAGGTCAAGCAAACTGTATTTCAAACTTCCGTATACTGGGTATATTCGTTAATACTAAGAATTGTGTGTTAAATATTTTTATTAACTTATTTGAATACTACGAAAGCCGGATAGGCTCAATTTTGACAAGAATAAAAAAAAATTAACTCGTTATAACGAGATAATTATCTCGTTATAACGAGTTAGATATCTCGTTATAACGAGTTAGTATCTCGTTATAACGAGATAATTATCTCGTAATAACGAGTTAGTTATCTCGTTATAACGAGTTAGTATCTCGTTATAACGAGTTAGTTATCTCGTTATAACGAGTCAGTTATCTCGTTATAACGAGTTAGTTATCTCGTTATAACGAGTTAGTTATCTCGTTATAACGAGTTAGTTATCTCGTTATAACGAGTTAGTATCTCGTTATAACGAATTAGTTATCTCGTTATAACGAGATAATTATCTCGTTATAACGAGATAATTATCTCGTTATAACGAGTTAGTTATCTCGTTATAACGAGATAGTTTTCTCGTTATAACGAGATAGTTTTCTGAATAAAAATGGTTGTAGTTTTTAATGCCATTAAATTTTTAGCTAGTAATTATCAGTCAAACTTAACTTGAACAATTTATAAATGGTAGAAAATTTAATTTGCTCTGGGTTTACTTATGATTAAATCTTGAACTATCTCGCTGTCAATAATCATATTTTGATAAGTATAGCAACTCTAAGGCGAACACATTTACACATTAATTCTGAACGCCTCCTCAAATTGTTGCATTTGGACGCGATATTTTTCTTAAAATAATATTGCCAAATATACTTGCTTCAAACTTTGGCAATTTATTTATGACAACTATTTCTGATGAATGACACTATTTCGACATGTTTTGGACGACTAAATAAATACACTTTCATATATCAATTTCTATTCCGCTAAAATTAAATATACAGAGACAATATAAGTAC